ATCAAGAAAGATTTTCGTACCCTTCGACAGGACCTTAATATAAAAAATCTGTATCCCAACCCTCCCTTACTCGCTAACCGCCAACCCCAAGTCTATCCTCTCGTCATCCAATTTACTCCCTAACCCGACTTCCCATGGTAATATTAAATGCAACAAACCATGCTGTAAAGTATGCAAGCACCTCGTCACCGACAACGTTGTTAGGCTCCCACACACTTCTTCTTCTATCAATCCCCCTCCCCTCACCTGTGACTCTTCGAACGTTATATATCTCCTCATGTGCAATGTCTGCGATCATGGCTCTTATATAGGCGAAACTGGAACTAAATTTAGACTCCGGTTTAATAACCACAAACAGTCCGTCCGTAGCAAGAGGAAGGGATTCCCTGTCGCTGCACACTTTAACCCCCTGGCCACTCCATTGACAACATCTGATGTGTTCTGCTGGCTAACAATTTTCCATCTCTTGACCATAGAAGACGCTCAGAGCTCAAACTCATTATCAAATTCAATACTCACATTTTAGGCCTTAATTGTGACATGGGCATTCTGAGCGATTACACATTCACACACACTTGACTTTTTTCATACCACCGTATTCCCGTTTCATTACTTGTTACACCTTGTTATATTCCATATCACTTGTATTATGCTATAATTAATTTTGACTTCTAGGCTTACCTAGTTTACTTCATTTTTGTTGATTTTGTTAATGGTTTATTATTATGATTATTATTATTATTATACTATATTACATTATATCATATACTGTATTACATATATGTATGTGCATTAGGCTTATATATTATCTTATAATTTTTATTGCCATTGTATTTATCTGTATCATGGGCTATCGCTTCCACTTCCCGATATCAAAGTACTTTGTTTTGTCGTTGTTTATCTCGCTCCCATTATGTCATTATCCCTTTGTCTCCAATATTGTTTATCTCATTTAATCACCCTCCTTTATTTATTGCCGACTGTTTATTGTTTTACATTGGATCTGGTATTTGCCAACTTTTGTAATCATTTACGCTGATGAAGTCCTGAGGACAAGACAAAATATTCGTTTCCTGAATAAATTATATTGTGTTCTACTGTCTAACTCAACGTTTCCGCATCATTATTTTCTGTCTTTTTTCTGTTTTATATATATCATAAATATCTGTCTCTTATACACATCTAGATGTGTATAAGAGACAGACCCACTGCCTTCTGAAGGGAAGCATATGAGAGCTGTTAAACAATCTTGCCCCCCCCCCCCCAACACGCCCCCCCCCCCCCCCCCTGGATACGGGCCTGAACTGTTGGTCCAGTTAGCATTGCTTTAATCTTGATTTTTTTCTGTGATCAGGTGCCTCTTGACCTGGACAAAATAGAAACGCAGTGCTCACACGTAGGCCTAGATTGTCCTACTTTTAACTATTAAAATCATTGAATTATCCCCACTGGTGAAACCAATGTAAGGGAAATCAGCTCTGGGGTTGTGGAAGTTGAGTCCTGGGCAGAGGCAAGAGTGAAAATTTTTAACAAAGATACAAATTAGTATGGAAAGTATAAAATATGTAAATAGAATATATTTATTTATAAGTTCATGACTTGTTGATAAGCTTGTGTTTTTTTTTTTTCTTTTTTTTTTTTTGAAAATTAAGTGTCAGTGTTTAATTTTTGACATTAATACATGATATAATGATGAATGATGAATATGTCTGCAGCAAATAAATAAAAATATTCTGAGAATCTACAAGACATCAATATTTATCAATAAGCACCCCCCCCCCCCCCCCCCCCCAACATTCAAACCTAGATGTAAATGTAATACCAATGTATGGGACTCAACCCTTCCAACAATATTATCACCAATCATACAATCAATGACATGAACTTTATGAATGGTGGATCTAGCTTTATGTCATTTTTGAAGAACAGTTTGATTCCTGTCTCTTATACACATCTATAATACATATACATGTATATTATGACAAGCCATGTAGAAAATAGAACACCGTAAATCTGATGAAGGCCAGAGGACTGCCCAAAGTTTCTTTTAAAAATAAATAGTGTTCTGTAGTCTACATGCCTTGTTGTCATAATTTTTTGTTTTTAACGACTGATACAAATTTTGAAGAACACACATGGATTTACAAACTAAGTTCTTTTCACTAACCTTCTGTGTCTTTGTGATTTTCAGGTTGAACAGAAACACCTAAAGCAAATAATAATTGATAGAGCATTTCAGTACTTATATAATTATACAATTATTAATAATTTAGTAAAATTTAATTATAATTTATTTATTGTATATTTTGTTAAATTAATTGCTTTTCTTTTATTTTGCCATCCATATTTTCCTTCCTTTTACTTTTTATTTCCAAGAGATCCATATACCCTAACCACAGATCCTATATATAGGATCTGTGCTCTTAAACAAAACTTTCACTAACCTTGTGTTGCTGGCTCTGTGTCACCATGATTTTCAGGTTGAGGACCATCTAAACCAATAATAATTGATAGAGCATTACAGTAATTTAAATTAAACTAGAAGCTAATAAATATGATACCCTGAAAAAACATTTTGCAAAAAAGGGGGGAAAAAACTCAACAGAGTATTAAATTTGAAGTTTATTTTCACTAACCTATTGTTGAAAAGCCTGTTACTGGTGACATTGACTCTGAATCTCCGTGACTTTTAGGTTGAATAGAAATATCTAAAGCAAACCATATATTGATAGTCATACAGTAATTTAATAAAATAACAACTATAAGGTTACATCAATGATTGAGGCAAATTAATCAGTATAGCTTGGTTTTTTTGGATTTATATAGATCATAATATGCCTCTGTGTAATTTTCAATTCCAATTAAATATATTACCACATTTACTACATTAGGTAATGTAAATTGAACACAATATAAAAGCATAGTAATGTAGTATTATAGTCCAATAGTATTAACTTATATAATCATTGGAATTGTATATTGCTTCAGTGTTACATGTATTGAAACATATAAGCTTCAAAAACAACTGAGATAAGATTCCCAACAGAAAACTTAATCAAACGATTAAAAAGGGTCTCCACAAAAACAAAATAAAATACAAAACTGCCAATGCTTATAAGCATTATAAATAGAATAACATTCTTTAATATTATAATTGAATTATTTCAGGAGAGATTTGACATGTATCTTTATCATAGCAATAGTAATATTTGGTTTTGCACATATCCATATGATTGGATCCTTAAAAATTTGGTATTGAACTATGTTTTACATTTCCTACTGATTTTGTTCCATCTGATTTCACTTCATTTATTCGTCTCAAACAGTAAACAAGATACAAAAAAGACTGAGACAGGATTTTCAACCGAGAACTTAATCAAATGATTAAAAAAGGTCTCCACAAAAATACAAAATAAAATAAAAAAACTGCCAACACAAACATAGTAATAATAATAATAATAATAATAATAATAATAATAATAACAATAATAATAATATGACAATAATAACATTACAAGAAACTTCCAGATAAATGCAAAAACATTTCACCCTTGCAGTATGGAAATTTAATGCTGTGGCATACCGTCCTCCAATACAGGTCACATAAGAGTTGAAAAGTTTCACACTAACAACATGGTTTCTACATTGTACAGTCCTTAATATGAAGTCCAAAAGTCTAGAAGCTTTTGCTTTTGATAATGTACCTCCACCCCCCCATGTCCCCCCCCCCCCCCCCCCCCCAACATTCAAACCTAGATGTAAATGTAATACCAATGTATGGGACTCAACCCTTCCAACAATATTATCACCAATCATACAATCAATGACATGAACTTTATGAATGGTGGATCTAGCTTTATGTCATTTTTGAAGAACAGTTTGATTCGTTAGAATGTTCATCCCATACCAGTGGTCTGGGAGTCAGTGGCTATATTTGCAGAAAATGACCACATGTTTAATTGGTATTTTTTGGAAAGGTCATCCTGTGGGGGGTCTTGGAACTGCCCATCTGGGCATCACATACACCATCAATATCCCTAGATGACAACCCGAGTGCAAATCCTAACATCTTCCATTCATCTCCTAGGCTTTCAGCAACATGACTAATATAATTACCTAGAAATTTGTTATTAATATGTTATTACTCTAATAATCAAAGTGAAAATTATAATAATTGTAAGCTTCATCAAATGCTCAGCATTCCAATAATTATGATGACTGACTATGCATGTGAGTTTCATTGTTGTAGTATTATTATAAAAACCACTTTAATATACAGTAGTCAACATTTTTAAAAGTATTATAAGAGGATGATTTTTGATTACTGATGATGACAAAATAATTGATATTAAACCTAGATTAAGATTCCGATTCAATATGATTTTTGATTACTGATGATGACAAAATAATTGATATTAAATCTAGATTAAGATTCCGATTCAATATTATTTGTCCAAAATTGAAATATCAGTGAGTACATTTCAAGCTAATACAATTTTAGAAAAATAATAGTTCCATATGAATGAATGTCATTTTCTTAGTATGAGGATATTTCATGGCTATTTTTCTTTTTATTCAGTGCACAGAAGCAACATTATTGTATTTAATATACTTGTGTCTGAGCTGTTCTTGGATATGGTTCCCTTCTCCATACCCTTTTCTTGATAGCCTGTTAATGTGGCTCACATTAATAGTGAAAAATGAAAAAACTAGTTACTGGTAAATTTAATAATTTGTGTTTGTTTTATTTGCTAGTAGATAAAATTAAAACTGACAAAATCAGTCAACATATTTTATTTTCTGAAGCTCATTCATCAGCCTACAGTATGTCTATCAGTACATTTCTTGTGCATATTTCTCAGCTGAGAATAAATGCATGCATGCCTACTGCTCTTGTTAGTTTGGAGGGCTGAAATAATTTTTTTATTTAACACTCAGGACCGACCACATACTAAACCCACATGTTTTATGATAAGAATTGACATTTTCAGAATAAATGTAAAAATTTTCATGCTCTTTTTTTCAATTAGAGCATTAACTTTATGTTTAAGGAATTGAAGAATGTAGGTTAGTACTTTAAAAATGTGGTCTCAGAATTAGACGAGTTTCAAATTGGGAGGATGAACTTTACTATAGGTCGTAATTTTAAAACTGAATACTTACCTTTAAACTCCTCTAATTTGTGAACAAGATCATCACTTTGTAAATAGTTAGCAATTTGAAATAGAAAATTAATCTTTTGAGGTGAGATTACTCTGAGTTTTTCCAATTCAATCATCAACTCTATTGGTTTATTTAATCTTTCTATTTTCATAGCAGGTATATGGGGTTTTAATATTGGTTTCAGGGATTCCAATTCTTTTCTTCCAATGTCAGAAGCAAAATCAAGTATCAGAGCCCTATGAAAAAAACAATTAAAATTAAATATATATTAACTGTTCCAATTTAATGATAAAATACTATGTATTATAATTAACATACAGCATCATATCACTATAGCAACCTGTGACTGCTACAACAGTTGACTTATAAATCAATTAGTATAGCTGCATACATAACGATAGTAATTAGAAATATACAATACAAGAATAAATAACAAGAGAAAACAATTTACAAAAACAATAACTTTTAGTTTAAATAAAAAAATTAACATTATGTATAACACGGTCTGTTACTTAGGTACAGAATTTGTTTCATGAATTAGTAATTTTATATTTGGTAAATAATATGCAAATACAGAGTATTTTACAGTATCCGAGTTATTTATTGCACATTAAAACACCCAAAAAAAAAAAAAAAAAAAAAACAGCAGTTACAACAAAGAAATATTGACTGAAAACATTA